ATAAGGCACATTGTCACATGACTAATGTTCGTGTTACATTAATTCCTTGATAGATTAGATGCGTGTCCAATTGCTTTTTAGCGTTAGTATTTGAGCGGAGCAAAAATTACTAACGTAGCATTAACGTTAACGTTAACGTTCAAACATTTCAAACTTAAATTCGAGATGGATATCTCCGACATCACTACAAGTTCATCTTCTAATGGAGGTGAGTTCATACATAGAAATGAGCTTGATTTCCTTCTGATTTCTTTCAGTCGGTAGATCTCTCTGAATCAACGATCCTTCGCCAAGAGTTTCGGGTTATTAAATACTCTTGATAAAAGTTGATCTTTCAAAGAATCTCTTTAAGCGTTTAAGACAGCTCACCGATCTAGTTTTCGTTTAATCGCATAACTATACAAGAATTCTTTCTGATCTAAATTATTCGCGATAACAGACGTCGAAAACCTCACTACACAGATCGAGAATCTAAATACCCAAGAACGTAAGAGATTTAATAATTTTATCGGTAAATTAGTTTCTTTGATCTAACTCTAGATATATATATATATATTTTTTTTTAAAAAAAAAAAGCAAAACATAGATCTTTACTAGAATCGAGCTATGATGTTAAAGTCACGAGTGTTGACGATGAACCCCTGCTTTCTGTAACGAAATTCGAAGAATTAAATTTGTATATATATTTATAATGATTACTATACGTTGTTAGAATTATTTGAAATTTAATATTGAAATTTGAACTTGGTCTTTGAAAACTAGGAATCCAGACTTGTTGAAGGGTATTTATGAAATGGGCTTTACAACCCCATCAAAGATTCAAGCAAAGGCATTACCATTACTTCTCAAATCTCCGTACGTAACGTTAAATAAATATTAAATATTTATTAATATTATTATGTCTAGTTTATTTGACATTTTAACATGTTTATTATCAGACCTCAGAATATGATTGGTCAGTCTCAATCCGGTACCGGAAAAACAGCAGCGTTTGTGTTAACTATGCTGAGTCGAATAAATTATGACTTGAAAGCACCACAAGTAATATTTTCGATATTATATATATAGTTGTATGAATTCTCTGTTTATTTATTATTGAAAAAAAAATAGGCGCTTTGCTTGACACCATCAAGAGAACTTGCTCGTCAAATCATGGTTGAAGTTAGAAAAATGGGAAAATATACACCAGTAATAACTGCAGAAGCTATTAGAGTGTCCGATGCAAAAACTAGTGGTAAAAGTAGGCATGAAGAATTTGCGGAAGCGCAACTTATAGTCGGTACACCTGGTACTGTTTATGATCTACTCAAGAGGAAAGTGATGGAAAGAAAACATATGAAAATTTTTGTTTTAGATGAAGCTGACAATATGTTGGATCAACAAGGATTGGGTGATCAGAGTATAAGAATTAAAAAGTATTTATATTGATATTCATGTGGTAAATTCGTTTATTCGTATATTAATATCGGTATACTAATATCGGCATTATTTTTAATAAATAGTATGATGCCTAGTTCATGTCAAATTGTACTCTTTTCTGCTACGTATTCCAGTGAAGTACGATCATTTGCTACTAGATTTGCTCCAAGTGCAAATCAATTCAGCTTAAGAGTTGAAGAATTGTCAGTAAAAACCATTAAACAATTTTACATGGATTGTAAAAATGAAGAACACAAGTTTGTAGTTTTGGACAATCTATATACCTTGTTAACAATTGGACAAAGTATTATTTTCGTTCAGGTAAAATTTATGATAACTTTTGTTGAATACTAAAATGTCTAAAATGATAAAAGTATTAAAAAATTAAAGTCCGAAACAATTATAGAAACGTGAAACGGCGGACAAAATTGCCAAACGTATGACGGATAAAGGTCACAAGGTTATTAACCTTCATGGTGGTCTTTCAACGTCCGAGCGCGATGAAGTTATGGATGGATTCCGTAAAGGTAGTGCCAAGGTATTGATTACTACCAATGTTCTCTCACGTGGGATTGACGTGTTGCAAGTGAATCTTGTAATCAATTATGATATACCAATGGATGTAACTGGAAGAAGCCCTGATTTTGAGACATACTTACATCGTATTGGACGTACCGGTCGATTTGGACGTACCGGAGTTTCTATTAACTTTGTTCATGATCCAGTTAGTTGGGAAATTGTACAAGCTATACAAAAGCATTTTCAACGTGAAATTGTGAAGGTGCCTACTGATGATTGGGATACAGTTGAAAAGATTTTGAGAAAAGAAGTTAGTTAGAGATGATGATAATTTTATTTGTTTGATTGTAACCGATCATAAAAAAATTTTTTTTTCGAGTATGATCGGTCGATAGTAGTCGATCATTAATGGTCACGCCTGACACCATGCATCAGCTCGTATTATATTCGTTACAATAATAATAGTATTTATTATTTTCCATGCTAATTCCCGTCATACTTGAACTTTACACCTGCTTAAAGTGCACCTGTCTGAAATTAGCCCCCCGAATCCTGAAATTAGATCTTGTAGTGTTACAAAATTTTTCATAATAAAATTTATTACTATATTTAGTTATTTTTTTTATTAGTCGTACAATTATTACATTCTACTTAATGATTTCCTTTTAATGCTACTTAATGATTTCCTTTTAATGCTACTTAATGATTTCCTTTTAATGCTACTTAATGATTTCCTTTTA